AATAGTTGTTTGCGAACAACGAGCCGTTTTGGCAACCTTAGTTGTAGATGTTTCATTAAAAGGATAAAAATGTGGAAATCACTTTAGAATGTGCATGGAAAGCCATTCATATGGAAGAATCAACATGAGAAAGAGTTTTGTAAAGTATGCTTGAAGAAATGATTTGATAAGAGCATGACGCTGGTCAACAGCCCAATGGAAACATCACCCATCAATTGCAAGTTAGAAATGAATTTCTGAATAAACTCTAGAAACAGAAAGGCCCTTGGAAAACTTTCCAACACTAAACAAAATAAATGGGGCTACCAACTTAGAACTCTCAGCTTCAAAATAAACTGAGAAACGTTTACCAGGAAAGATGGAGAGCAGCTAGAGTTGAAATAGATCTACAAAAAAATATTGGAAAATGATAAGAGGATGAAAGCTGAACAACGAAAGTGTTCTTTCCCCAAACAAACTCGGTAATTAAACAAGGAACTTATGCAAACAATGAAGCAACAAAAGATTTAAAAATTAGAGGATGATTTTTAGGTCACAACAGGCAGCAACGGAGAAGCACAACCAAAACCACCAGAGGAACAACAGAACTTGATACAAAAACCCTAAAACAGTCATCCATGGAGGAGAAAGTTACCAAAAACCGAAAATAAGCCGGAGGAAAAAAGTGCAAATGATGACCGTTGTGATGACAGCGAATGGATGTAAAGATGGCGGTCAAGGGCAAGGACGAGATGTCAAGCAATAAACGAGGAAAAGACAATGAGGTAGAATTCAAATACACATTTCAAGTGTTTATTCTGGTAGCAGTTCGGTTTTTTATGTTTCCTGCTCAATTTTTGTCAGGTTTAAGATTCAACTGATTTTGGTTTTCAGATTCCAGCTTCATAATTCATCTCTAGTCATTGGCTGAATTGGTTCAAACATTTCCCATCAACTTGTATTGTTTATTTGGGAGTTGCACGTGTTTTTTCTTGTAATGGATAAAGTCTGGTTTAATAAATTTATACAGCCAAAGATGACATTGAAAAGTTATCATTATTTTCATAATAGAACTCATCCGCTGCTGGCAAATACCTAATATATGTTGTTTTCTGGCACCTTGCCTATCTTATGCAGCCTCTGTACTATGTTTCAATTATTTCTATTGTTTTTAGAGAGATTGCTGATTTTTGTAGCATTTATGATCATTTAGCTATGGACTCTTTCCACAAAGATTTGATGGAATGCTCAAATTTTTGCTCAAAAGTTTCATCTTTAATATCTAGCTGCGTAAGCTGAATAATGTTAATAAAAATCTATATTATTGTTGTTTGTCTTTACTATTGTTAATTATCATTAACAGAATATTCTTCAGCTTATTTGTATTTCAAATGATATGTTCATGTTCTTTTCTAAGTGTTTATCTGCACTTCATCCTGCTCCCAAATTTGCTTACTGCCACCAATGTCCTCTATTCGTATTTTAATTTTTTTTTTTTAAGTGTATTCACTCATGAATACCGTTAACCAAGTTTCAATGCATATAAACCTCACTTAAAATAGAGTAAATTTATTTTGTCATTTCTGATGTTTGGTTTTTCAATTATGAGAAAAGTCAAAAAAAGCCACATGATTTTTGTTTTTTAAAATAACAAACGACATAAGGATACCAAACCTATTTCTATTTCATATTAGGACTTATAGATAATAGAAATAAAATAAACTAAAAACAAAAAATAGAGGCACATACATATATACCACATAATTCAAATGTATTTACACAACTTTGTTTTTTACATTTATAACACTCAAATCTTTCATATCACATAAAATACCACTATGACTAACTTTTAAAAAGTGAAACACACCTTTTTTAAGCAAAGGTAAAGTGTTATGGATGTAAGAATCAGAGTTTAGGTGTTAGACATGTAAATACACAGAAATTATATGGTATGTCTGTAAAATAATGATTATGCCCAAAACCCCCATAGTCATAGGCGTGTATGTGTGACTTAAAGTTTGTCCTGTGAGACATCAAATTTTCCCTCATAAAGTGAACTTGATCTTTATTGGAATATGTTTGCTTCTTTGTGAAATTCCAGTTTATACAATATTAAATTATCATTCTGAAAAAAAAAAAACGCAATAGCTGTTTTTTCATTAAATCGGTAGATCTTTTACTTCAATTAATTGTTAGCAACCTGACAAATAATATTTTTTTAAAGTATTTTCAGTTTGTATCCTGCAACAGTAAGCCAAAATAACTTTGCTAGCTTCAAGAAAAAGTAGCTAATAAAATATAATAAATAAAGCAAAAACTTGCTAATTCTCTATTAAATTAATAATGCCATTAAAATAGAAGTTGCCCACCTGTCCATCAAGGGCAGCAATTGCATCATCTAGCGCATTCTTGGATTCCATTGTAACAAAACCAAATCCTCTTGATCGACCAGTTTCTCTATCATAAACAACCCTCGCACTCAATACTTTACCGTGTTCGCTGAATAATTGCTCCAAGCGAGTATCATCAACTTGCCACGGTAAATTTCCAACATAGACCCTTAAAGAAGGCTCAAATTCCCTAGGACTCCTCTCAGGTCGGGAACCTTTTGGAGCAGCTTTATTTACAGTTAAAAGCCGGCCATTGTAATCCTAAATCAAAAACACAAAGTAATTATATCAGTTTAATATCAGAAAAATAAAAAAGAGTAAATCAAAAAATAAGATTAGATGGTCTGCCAATTCATTTAACAGCATTATCAACAGAAAGAACAAGAAGAATAAGACATTTACAGCAAACCATCAATATTAACTGACATGCAACAAGAATTAATTAATACAATAAGTTCTATAAGATGCAAATACTATCTCAGTTATGTTAGTCACCAAAAAACCCAAGAAAAATGTTACACATTGAGCGATTTATGAACTGATAGAATTTATAAACATTCTTTGTTGTACTCTAAAGATTCACAGTAGATAAGACTAAAATTTTTGCATGGAAACCCCTCGAAAGAGAATGAAGAGACCAGTCACAATCAAACAGTATACACTAATCAAAATTTCAATGTATCCTGGCAGTATCGATACAAAGTATAAGGCACCTTGTTCAATACTGCTATTGCGATGAGTAAAATGGTCACCGACCAGAGCTCCACAATTGTCATTGAAAAGAAGGAATTTCCCAAAGCTATTTCTTGCATAGAGAAAACATTTTCCAATGAATTAAAAAGGAGCCCTTTTATAGACTTCATAGAAGTTATGCTTGTTCTTATCCGCAATTGACAAGAACTGGAAAGAATTAGTTGAGTACATTATCTTAACATCTGGTGATATTCATATAATCTTAAGGAGAGCTTTTAAATAGGGAACATCTAAAATCAATAGATAACAAACATAGAATAATTATAATAATCCATGGATTGATAAATTGGTAATATAATATCATTGGATAATTACAATAGTACATGCATTGATGAGTACGCAGTAGACATCTCACGGATTAAGGAGATAACAACAGAAGAAGAAGACAACAAGAGCAGAAGTCTATGAGTGAGATCCAGAGTTGGGGGAAATTAAGCAGGTACATTTGAAAAAAATGACTGCCATCCATTTCAAATTTGCTTGTTGATTTCAAAAATAGCACCTCTGATAATCCTTTGGCAAGAGTGTAAACATGTTAATAAAATAGTGCCCCGAATAATAATTTGGCAAAAGTGTAAACAAGTTATTCACATGATCACAAACAAAGTGCAGATTAGGCCATTGTCTAATTTCTACTTACTAGAGTACTTATCAACTTAATATGTTTAGATGATCAACTTGCATGGGATTTTGTGTAATGTTGATAGCTTGCTTTAATTGTAATAGAACCTCATAAGACCTTCAAACTTTTGATACTTACAAATAATTTTTAACGATAATAAATTTGAATTCCGTGCCAGATCTTGCCATCACATTCTATTTTGTAGTTCTCCAAGTGGCAATGTCATTTATTAAGAATGTTAAATATCTTAAAATAAACCCCCTAATAACTAAAGTACTTGCATTATCTGCATATGTGTATGATTTAAGAGTCGAACCTCCCTCTTTTTGATTAAACTTCATTGACCATAATTCCCTTCAATATTGTGGTATAGAAATCTATATAGGATCCTAATGCATGATTATTTAAGATTATGCATGAATTAACTTACCACACCAGTAACATAGATAATATCAATTCTAAAAAGTATAAAGTAGCGAAGTCTTCCCACTAATTTCTAATAAGAAATTTTTTCTACACTTGTGTCTTCTCAAGCATCTCCAAGTAAATTAGATGGGGCTCTTAATAGCTTTCCATCCTTATTTGTCAGTTTTTTTTCAACAAAGATATCAAATATTTTTGTTATGATATAAAGATTACATGTTCAAACCGTATAACTTCAATGTCCATAAAGTGATTTAACTTAATTCTTTTTCTTTAAACTCTTATAGATTTTTTTTTCTTTAAATTCTCCATTTTCATGTGTTTCCCATCTTATTATTTGGAGCCTGATTGTGACAATCAATTATCAACTCAGACCCTCAATTTCCCTGAGCAAGCTCAGTGATGAGTTTGTGGATAGGGAGTGGGAGGGGTGGTTGGCAGCAGTGCCCTTCAATATGAATTTGGGGGCAGATTCCCTGAATGATTTTTTTTTCATACATAGCACCTTGGAGTTGTACCCACAGTGCTACAATATCAACGCTGCAACACTGACTTTGTAGTGTCAAGGCATTGTCTTTGCAACGCCATAGTGATGCCTGAAATTTGTTATGAGGCAGGTTGATCATCACAAAATATACGTGTCAATCAAATAATATACAAATAACGAGTCCGCGCATCGATCCCACGAGTATAGTTGTCAAAATATTCCTAAAAATGGAAGTCTTAGTGTACTAAATTGTTGAATCTAGTTTGAAGTGATTTAAGTGCAATGATGAAAATCTACCAGTCCTAAGAGAGACAATAAAAGGGATAGAAAAAGGAAAGGAAACAACAAAAAAATCAGGGAGCAACTTTGAGTCATTCAGAGACGATAAGGCTTATGTTACTAGGACAATAGTGTAGTGTTCTCTCAATGTTTTTTCCTATGAGTTCTCCTGTATGATAGTTGACAACTAGAGACACAATCCTCCTTAGTCTATGTGTAGTTCATAAAAAAAGTTGGAAATCATATTGCAGTTAAGAGAGACTTAATCATGCAGCGTTTCCCAAGATTCATCAGATCCCCTATCCACATGCAGTTTCCTAACAATACACTAAGTCATCGTTGTACAATAAGAATCTCTCCAGAATCTCCCTCGCACAATAGTATTTAATCACTCTCACACAAAAACTCCCAAAACTCAAAGCAAAAATCAATATAGAAGTTCCCTCCCAAAAGAAAAAGTAAGAGAAACCTAGAGTTTGAAGTAAAATGCTAACTCTTGGTGCAAGAACCCTCTTCAAGTCTGCACATCTTTTCTAGGTTGTGCCCAAGCTCTCCTTATATATCTCTTATGAAAATTTTCATGGAAACCATGCCAAAATAAAACTTTGGTTGGCGGTGGTGTGACCATGCTCGTGCCCGGCATAATCACGCAATACCTAGCATATCTACGCCAAGTTCTGGTGTAGTTACGTCTAATCAACAATGAATCCGATGTAATTACACCAAGGTCCGGCATAATTTCACTGGTCCCCTAAATTTGATGACTTCATGACGTGAGCTCGACACATGTAACCTACAAAATATCACCAAAAAACTTTTACAAGCATAAAATCATAATAAATAAAGAAGAAAATATGGTATTTAAAAAGAAAATTTGCATAAATTTATATCGTATCAATCCCCCCAAACTCGCATATTACTTGCCCTTAAAAAACTCATGTCTAACTAGAACTCAAGAGTGTTTGTAACTCACATGCGAGACTACCCAATTTTCTAACTTGATTATATAAATGTATGAAAGTATAGTACATTTCATTTCAAGGATGAATTATTATTAATTTCTAACAATTAGGCCAATTTCTTTACTTCTCAATCTAAGTCTAGGCATATCTTAACACTCTTAATCAGTTGTAATAGTACTATTTTCATTTCTCAAGAATATTTTTAAGTCAATTAAATCTTAATCAAACAATTCTTAAATTCCTTAACTTTTCCTAAATATAATATTTCAGAATTTTATCATAAAAACATCAATTTTTATAAAGTAGAATTTTTAGACACCAATTGTTAATTTTTTATGCTCAACCTCAAGCTTCTTCCCAAAAATTACGAAGGATTCCTTTTTCTTTTGATTTTCTTTTTAGCTTAGTGTCTTGCATGTTCTATTCTTTTTCTTCTCTTTCAGCCCATAATTATTTTTAATTTCAATGAGAATTACTAAATCTAGTTGAGCATAATTCTTTTAAGAATTTTGAATGTCTAGTCTCTCCCAATTTATAATCTTCAAAGACTTCTTACCATGATTTCTAAAATATTATAACTCATTCAAGGTTAAGATCAATTAACCAGTTCAAGCTGAAAATTAAAAGGTGTAATTGTCCCTAGTTAATTACTTTTATTGAAGCACATTCTTTTAATTATTCTAATACTTTTTAGGGTTCAGATAGAAGTTGTTAAAGAAAATGACTCGATTACTAATCCAACTTTAATGAATATCTATCTCTTTTAAAGAAAACTTTATGCAATTGATTTAAATCACCAGAGTTCCTATCATGAATTGCTGCATTAAAAGACACTCCTCGGTTAGATATGTGAATCACTCTCAGGCAAGTGTATACACCCAAATTTCTCCCCTAAACTTATTTTATATCCAATGCATGTGATATGAGACAAGATAAGAGTGGAAAGAAGAAAGCATGCAGTAATAGGGTATAGCAATGCAAAATAAGTCAACATGGCTAGTAATTATAAACATGAAGCATAGAACCATAAAAGATGTCATAAGAAATTTATGGAGTGTACATCAAATCTCAAAAAGCAGGAAAGGACTCTCATCACACACCATTTATTCCAACACACTCAAAAATAAATTCAAGGAAACCAACACAAACACAATCAAATCAAAGGATAAAACTTGGTTAATCTCCTAAGAAAGCGTTTGGTTTAACATCCTCAGTCAGACCATACCAGACCAAATCAAGCCTAAAAGGGTTCTCCATAATCAAATTGTCTTCTCAGCAATCTCTAACCAATCTTCCAAACTTTTAACTATCCTAAAAAGATTTCCTTAAGTCATCCCATGTCATTTCTAATCAATAATCTTCCCGAGAATAAGTACTTCCTCACACCTATGTTCAGACTTTTCAGTAATCCCTTTTGTAGTAATCTTCTGAAGGCTACGTCATGGGTCGACTCTGATGATAAACCTTAAAAAAGACATCTTGGTATAAAGCTCTTAGCACATGCCACTCTTGTAACTCACTCAACTCAGCAGAACTCATGACGGGAAAAGCAGAGGATTCTCCTAACAAGACACTCTGCTCAAGGGGAATTTTCAACCCTATCACTATGACTCCTATGAGTAATCCTATAGGCTTAAAATGAGTAATGGTATCCATCGGCACAACTACCTCACATAAGTCTGAAGGCTACGTCATGGGTCAACTCTGATGATAAATCTTAAAAAAGACTTCTTGG